TATAGCACATACATACATAGACTAGACAAATCAAAACTAAATGCTTAATGTGTGCGAATAAATACTCGTAAAATTTGTGAGAAAAACAAACATCGATAAATGACCTTGTCAAAAGTGCGGAAAAGAGAAAATATGTGAATAGTAAGTCTGACTGCCACCAAATTAATGAATTTTAAATGACTTTCCAGTGAAAATAAAACAGAAAAAACAGATAGAGATCAAAAACAACAACACAAAATAAAAATAAATAAATAAAAGAACGAATAAACAAGTGACAAATAATGACAAGAATTTAGTGGAACATGTGCGAAGTGCAAACTCCACATCACTAAGCAACAGCTGAGGCGGAACGTAAAAACAAATATCAAAACAACAACAAAAACAAAAATCAACAAATAAACAAAAAAGAAAACAATAAAGCGCACATTAAATTGTAGTGCTTGAGTTCAGCCAAACAACAAGTGTTAGCCACATGACACCGGGGCCAACAACTAAAACACAACAACATTACAAAACTTACCAACCAACTTGAAGCTTGCCAATACACGAATTTACCAACTTACCACGGCTTAGTTCCCCGCTCCTCCCTGCCAGTGAGTACACCGTACTAGTACTCGTACCTAATCGCAATCCCCTTAGTGGACATAGGCTGCAGCAATGTTTATTTCGTATCTGAACTGCGAAGGCGACAGCGAGAGTAGCCACAGCGACACGATGTCGGTGGAGCAACTGTTGCATGCCGTACGTGAGCAAACCGAGTCCGAGGACGAGAGCAGCGACGACGACGACGACGACGCCGACGACAACGTTGATGGTGGTGGAGGCCGTTGTAAGGATGCAGACGATGGCAGTGAGTCTGAATCAAGTCATACTGTCGATTCGACGAACAGCGGTGCACCGCTCCTTCGCCGCTTCCGACGCTCGTCCATTGGCATGCAGCGCAAGGCGGCATTTCGTCAGCGGAAAATGGATTCGTTGGGCACGTGGCGGAAGCGGTAAGTGAGATCGATATCAAGCGGAAGGAAATACTCGCATACGTGCATAGAATATATGCGGGAGGGTGCGCGTATGTGCTTGTGATTGGTGCGAGTGTGACTACTGGTTGAAAGTGCTACCTTTGGTTATCAAGACTATTTGTCAATGCAAAATCATTAAAAAAAATATGCACGGCGTAAGATAGAACGTAAGACCTTTGTCATGGGCGGAAAATTTAAATTAATTTGGTTAGTAAATTTCACATAGGTCTAAGGAAATTCTATGATAAAATAAATAAATATTAACCGTTTTTTAATGTGTGCGCTCAACCCTTTTGCAACCCATCTCTGTACACGCAGGAACACGGTTGCATTTAAATATGGAACATCTGTACGAGAGTGCATAGTTTAATGTAAAGAGAACACATTTTTAAACCATTATGTGATGCCAATTTGCTAAGATGTGGGTATATTAAGTAGTCACTTCTCTTGAGGAAAAATTAGACTAATTCCAATTTTGTGGAAAGTGTACGTGACCTAAAAATTTCCTCATACAAATGTGCTATGAACTATATATATATTTCCATATATTGGGCAGTCATAAAAGTCTTTTAGTATTTCTAATCAAACAGAGACATTCCATCAGTATAAATCGAAATTTCGAAATTTCCAGAAATGAAGCTCAAAATTTCACCTTTCCAAATATATATGGTAGCACTGGAGATATACGACTGCAACGACATCTATTAACAAAATACGAAAAGATTTTTTCGACTACCCAATATTATCCTCATTCGTTGTCAAGTTTCTAATACTAGCTCCGAATCCTTTTTTGGGAATCACGATTAAAAAAACGCTCGGTAGTATTGAAATTGATTATTGGCGATAACAAAACCAGTAGCTTTCCATATCCTCTCGTAATTATCTACTAGGAGAACACGCACATCGCGATCCATTACAAACTCTTCTCTATACTCGTTCAGAAGTAGCAAAGAATCTATTGAATGTCGAATACTGTGTTGATCATATACGCTTCTAGAATGGAT